TATGTGTGAGAGTAATTCAGGGGAATCTATAATAGAGTGGGTAATTTTATAAAGATAAACCAAGTCGAAAACCAAGCGCCTTGTTTCTAATGACTGAACATTAAATTTTAGCAGTCTATCTGGATAACTTAAACTTGACCGGCCAGGTTTTATGCGGTAATTTAGGATTCTGAGGAATTTTCTCTGAATGCGTTCAATTTCGTCAATGTGCACTTTGTAATTCGGTGACCATACAGGAGTACCGTATTCCAGTATACTTCTCACGAGAGTGAAGTATAAATACAAAGTGCTACGAGGATTTTTGAAATCTTTGGAAGACCGTAAAACAAATCCTAGTAGTTGGTTTGCTTTGGTTGTAATATGACTGTAGTGGGTACGGAATGAAAGCTTCTCATCAAAGAAGATACCCAAGTCTTTTGCAACATGAGATCTGTTAATTGATTGACCTTCGATGACGTAATTCCATGTAGTTTTATTTCGTTTATTAGAAAATGATATGACGAAGCATTTGTCTCTGTTTAAGTACATGCAGTTATATTTACACCACTCAGATACGGTATTAATATCATGTTGCAAGGCTAAACAGTCATCTGAATTAGAAATGGATGTAAAGATCTTTAAGTCATCTGCATATAAGAGACAATTACAGGACAGTTGTTGAATAAGGTCATTAATGAAGACTACAAAGAATAATGGCCCTAAATGGGAACCCTGAGGGACTCCAGAAGTCACTTCTACGGGTGTCGAAATAAATCCTAAGTAATAAGGCCGAGGATTTGAAACGAAAGAATTCGTAAAAGGTGTAGGGTGCTTGTTCATCGCGGCGTCATTAAAATATTCAGTCCAGCAGGGGGGGGGGAGGTATCGGGCCGCCGAGGGCGCTGGGACTGTGCTTAAATATAAATAGTACACGTGTTTCACTTGACCTTGTGGCCTTGTGGCCCGCAGCCGCTCCACTGCGTCTTGTGCTAGGACTTCGCCGGGAAACGTCGTTGATTTATTTATAGAGATCAGAAAGTTTGCAAGATCATACAATGTTAAAGTGCAGCACTGATTTTGATTGCTTGCAGTATAGGTCGCACGAGGGTTTTACTAACAGTCCGCGAGTCCCAGCTGTTGTTAGTGTCAATGTACGTGCGGCACATAAATAAATAACAGCTAACGATAGAAGTGTGTTCCGCAGACAACAGCGACGACAGCGCCAGTAACAATCACCGCCGCGACAGCAGGCCGGCGACACGAGTCGAACACATTCCTTTTGTAGCAAGTGTAGCAAGACCGCAGTCATCATTGTGCATGTTGTTATACCTTCTTTCCTATAAATAACAAATAATTATTCTTAAAGGTTTGATTCGTCCGTCCGATTGTTGTCTAATCATCTGCATTCTAGGTCAAAAGTCAAGCTCAAAAATGTTCATACTTTTATTGCGCTCAAAAGGCACTGCGCACTAACAAAGCACAAAGTAGGAAAGTAATAATAATAGTATGCAAGTGCTGGACTCACAGACCTGAACTTGTATAAAGTTTACACTAAGTGCAGATAAAATGCTTGTTTAAATTCATAATGTACTTAAAGCTGTGCTACTTGCACTGTTTCTTACCAACAGTTCTAGTTTTATTTAGTTTTTAGTCAGGAGGTAAGGGCTTGCCACTCCCCGTCGCCCCACGCAGAGCGTGAGAAGTTATTGTAGCAATGAATGTTCCCCCACAAAAAAATAAGAAGAAGCAAATAACCTTAAAAAGAAGTACCTTGAAAATATTACAATAAAATAACTTTACAAACGCAGGTGGAGTACGTACTTACGTCTCGTGTCGGTGTGGGCACGCACGGGCCGGGGCCCATATATTCAGAGACCGCATCGAAGTTCACTGATCGCCGTTCATCAATCGATTACTCGCTGACATACCACTGCACACCAACGTATGTTGCAGTCAAGTTTATTGCCTCGTACCGACAAAAAGTCATGTGTGGGTAGTTTACACGAATTAAACAATGTACTAGGAGTGTCGGCAGTCGGAGAGCTCAGTGACATCACAAGATTTGTGTAACACACGCAGACGACGTACGCATGGGACTGGTACTGAGTGCGCCAGGCGGCAGCTTCCTGGACGGAGACGCTGAGAACTAGTAGTTACCAATTCACAAGTAAACACCTAGACACGACTACATACAAATACAAGACGCTGACAAGAATTAGTTACTCGAAGTTTTAGATTCAACCGGGTTTTAGAGATGAATTATTATGAGTTACAATAACAACAGGTACAGAGCTCGGAGCCGAGCGCCCGGCGTCACTGGAGCAGTCGACATCACTTAATTGTTAGTAATAGTTTGATTGGTGTCGTGTCCCGGCCACGTGATGCGTGCCCTGGGTGATGAGTTCATTGTTACACAACCAGCGTTAGTTGTACTAGTTTAGGCGACAGACTCCACACCACGGACACCCTCCACCGAGTCACGTACTCAAGATCAGAATCAGGTAAATAAGACAAGTAATTCCTTATCATTTTACTCTTAATTATATTTTGATACAATAATGAATAAATTATGAAATTATTATCATACTTTCATTCATTGATTTCACGAACACTTCGTTTTTTACTTTTCCAGAAATAGGTACCTACCTATCATTTTTAGTCTTATTCATCTGTTGCGGTGCGATCTATAGAATTTTTTTCTAATTAAAATAACTAACAGTTGTTTGAATCTGACATTGTGGTATGAATCCTAAATCTCGGAAAATTCATCCGAAGGTCCCGAATGTTTAAAATGTGTAATGTCCAAAAAGACAGACATCGGAGGTAGGCTTAGGCAAAACTAATTAAGACTCAGGGCCGACTCCAAAGATTAATTGAGAAAATTATATATTGCAAAAATTATATATTAAACAACCAAACAAATAGTGTAATTAGCTAATAAACAAGTGTGGGAGAGCCAAGCTCCGGCACGAATGGGTCATCTCAACCGGAGTGATACCACGGCCTCACAGAATACCGGCGTGAAACAACCCACAGCGTTGTGTTTCGCCGTGTGAATGAGGTTATTGGTGTTGCGGGTGTCCATGGGCGGCGCCGATTGCTTACCATCAGGTAATGTGTCTGCTTGTTTACCGGCTTATCCCATAAAAAAAGAAATATTACATATGTATAGCTACAAAAATTAGCAGATAGAGTTACGGGGCGGGGTCCGGCCCCTGGCCCCTGAGGAACTAAACGACAATCTGCCGCTTCCGCCGCTACCTAGAGTGAGGGCACCACAGGATCTGATCGGTTTCACATTATAGCCACCTCTTCACAGGGCTGACACAACCGGGGACCAGCTGACAGCATCACGTCGATAATGACTTGGTTAACCTATCTATAAGCAGTAATTATCGCAAAGTAGGAGGCGGAGCACATGAGGGAGCTATCCTCCTCATGCTCCGCCGCCCCGCAGTAGACACTCCGTTCTTCGGGTCTCGAGCGACCAGACTCAGACCCAAGCCGTTCCAGCCGTCCCTCTAGCCAATAGACCGCTACAGACAGGCCGATTTTCAATCGGGGTTTTGGGGCTAGCGCAACACGGTACCGCGGCCTCGACCTTAAGCAGGAGCAGGAACGGGGGATTTAGTCAGTAAGAGTGTGACACTCCCTCTCGCATCACCCTGGGCGAAGTTACTGGAGAGAAACAATAAAGTACCTAAATAGAATTTTAAGGAAGTAAACAATGATGGTTGGTTATATTATGTATTATGTACTCGTAGTATAGATATATAACGTAACTGTGTAACATTTTAAAAAGATTTCTTCAATACGAGTACAAATAAACTCTACTTACTAACTTATTTATCCTTTCACGACGTAAGTTTCAGAACCCTGCATCTAGTATGACGCGTGCAGAGCTGCAGCAATCGTGCAAATCCTACATACGTGTATATTTCTTATTTTATAGTGACACTCGGTCAGCGACTCGGCTCGGGTTCCGACGAACGCACCGCTCGGAATATGAGGAGTCAATGGCCGCGCCGAATTAAACTAACGCTCTTCCGATTCCAAAATAAAGCGCACTACAAGTAATTAGGTGCAGCGTGCAGCAGTCACTGCGCCCTGCGTGCAGCTCATACACTAAACATCATTTGTGATAAATAATTAAATATATATCCAAATGCACAGGTAGAGTGCCACTTATTAATACTCTTGAGCTAATACCAATCTGTGCAACCTAAAGCCTCGACAAAAAACAGACTTATCGAGATTACTTTTTATAAAGCGTACGTACACGTGAATCGGTAGTCGCCTGGAACTACAAGGTATAATTATGTTAACAATTCGAGGATTGAAGGTATCTACAACTCCTCAATGATGAGAAGTAGAAAGAGGATCCTTTAAAAGTACTTACTAGTACTACTCACACCATGGATGTCGGCGCCGCAAGTTCTAAATATTAAAACACACCTAATAGTTCAATTTTTATATTCGCACATTTTAGCATTACCTACTTTCTGTTCTAAGTTCTAAACCTAAGAAGCTCTCGTTTTTGTTAACAACACCACCGTTTTTTATAAGAATGTAGGTACAGCCAATATTCTTAAGTGTGGGTGAGGCTACCTCTACAAGTAGTGCTTACATTTTAAGTTCTTGAATAATGCGCGCGTCTAACAAGCAATCAAAGCACAAAATATCCGGAGTCAGGTTTAGTTCGTTTATCGTTTGAATCAAATAATAAGCTCGGCCGACTGCAAAACTACTGGACTATGGTGTTGTATCTACCTATTAATGTATCAGTTGTGTGTAGGTAGGTAGTAATCAAAATGCAGCCTCGGCGATGTGAATAATTTGCCTTTCACAAAACTGCATGAGGAACCAGTCAACCAGCCTACACACAATATGAGAGCAGGCAGAAAGCAAGTTTATAGGGCAAGCTGCGTGCGGAGAGAGCGCCTGTGTGGCGCGGGGAGCGGGCGGGGCCCCGCGCGCCCGCCGCTCCGGCCGCCAACCGGTCTCTCCAACTGCTCGCCGATGCAGTCCGGCCAGTCTGCCAACGACAGTGTGGCGTCGTGCACGTGTCGCCGTGTCTGTACCTCCTCCCCGCACACCTCTACTCACAATCGCACGACGCTCACCGCGCTTCTACCACGGATACACTTGTGAAACTTGAAACAAATAAGTGTTAGTGTGATAATCTAAATGCTGTGAGCCTTCTGATTTGGCTGAAAGTGCAGTGTGTTGTAGTGCAACCGGTTCACCTCGTGTGCGAGGCCGGCTCTTGGAGTGCCAACAACAGTGTCTGTGGAAGCCGCACAGTGCTTTCTAAACGAGTCCCGACACACCGGTCCGGCTGTGCGTTTTGTGCGTACATTCAACGCATACTGGAATTTTCATAAAACACTTTAAGGTGAGCAGTGGCCACTAAGTTACTTATAACAAAAACTATGACTTATTACTCATACGAGGTCAGTGAGTGACTTAGAACATTCAGAACAACGAATTCTGCGCCTGGAAGTCGTCATAAAATTGATTAAGTATCCAAACAATAGTCACAACAATCATCTAGTAAGTGAGTCGTTTATGAGATGGTCAGACGCTGTATATGTATAAAATGCTATCTATACACTATATAAACACCTACATTTAGTCAGGATTTGTAGTAATACTTAAGTACTAGTATAGTATACAAAACCTTACTAAATCTAGCCATGCGTACAAGCTACAGGTGTATAATACTTAATAATAATATGATAACTATAAACAATACAATATACACATTAATTATACATTATGTACTAGTAGGAACTAGGAACTTAGATGATTTTAAAGCATCATTTTAAAATAAGAGTAAATAGTTACATATAACCTAAACATACGGACGAATAATTCAAAATTTGCTAATAAAGAACCGCCGCAGGCAACCTCTGTCCACTGTCCAGTCAGCAAGTAAACAGTATGACAGGACTACAAGAGGCTCAGGCTCAGACACACCTGCGAAGCAAAGCGGATGTGTCGTAACGGGTAAACTTAGCTTGAGCAATGAACCACTCGTGTAACGAGTACAGCTCCAAAGTTTACCCGAATCAATGCAAGTACTTAATTAATAAATTACCGTGTGGTAAAAGATAAATATAGATTATTAAATTTATATTCCTTTAATGTCGTATTCACAGATTGAGACGCTACATTCTCGCTCAGCTTCCAATTTCCCTACAAGTGGCAGATGATTATCTCACGCGGTTTCACCCGCTGCTCGGCTCCATTTAATCGTAGCGTTTTAGAGCCTATAGCATTTAGGAATATTGAGCTATCTATCAGTGAAAGAATTTTGGAAATCCAACCAGAGGACTTACATACAGAGAGACATACAAACTTTCAAATACCTCTTTATAATAGTATAGAAGATAAATTTCGGCACTAGTCCCGACTCCCTTGCCAGTTAGACGTTACTTATAAAATTGCAACTTGCAATCGAAGAGTCCATCTTGTTGTGGCAGGTATAAAAGGAAAGAACTGTGTTGGCATTAATGATTCCTTTTGTCTGTGACCCAGACTCAAGTACCTAAATACATTTATCCAGATGAAGTCGAAGCGGTTAGAGGCACCTGTAATAATAAAATTATGTAGGTTCATATTGAGATCGATTTGACATTGTTTTTTCGAGTCTGTAAGACACATCGATCTACAGATATTGAAGAAAAATGTAGTTACTCATATCTGCCTACCCGGCATGAAGCATGCGCAGATTTTCGTTATTTCTAAATATTTTAAGTTCGATACTAATATTTTTCTACTCATTTTGTAACATTCTCTGTTACAAAATGACTTCTAAAGGAATAAGTTATGATTAAAAAAATAGCAACATTAAAAAAATTACGATGAAATACCTACACTATGCGTAGGTATACTATATTTACCTCGACCACGAAACACAGGTACCTGGTCATGGTTGGCATTTTCATTTAATCCGGCTCGAGTTGTCAAGGTAGGTGTGATAGCTGATAGCTATCTTTTTGTAATGAAATCATTACCGCGTACCCACATTTTCCCACCTAACTTTAGACTTTTTAAATAATATAATGTGTCACAACTCACAACATTACCTTAGTGGAAAAATCTTAAACAGGCTAATGTTACTTCCTAAATTATTCTTTCCTAACTCCTGCTATGTAATCAAAAGAGGATGATGGTTACTATCGCCATTTAATTAGGTACAATTATTTTAATACGAACTAAGTAGGTACCTACCTACTTACAGGATTTACATATTATGTGTGTGTGTGTGTGTGTGCTTAGATACATATAATAATATATTATACTGTGTTAGTTGCATGAATGAACATATAGCAAGTTAAGGCACAATTAATGATTAGGTATACCTACAGCAGTACCAACTGACTGATAACCGCAACACTAATATATGCTCTCTTAAATAATCCACTTGAAAAGAATAACGTAAGTAGGTAAATCATGAATGTCAAAGCATCACCGATGTCAGCTATTTGACTAATTAACTAACTCATGTATCTATAAACCTACAACAGGCTTTCAGCTGTTGATTGGCGAAATAAAAGCAGGAGCTATTTATTTCAAAGAACAATGGATTGATAGGGTCAAAGATACGTGACTCAAAACATAAACAAATTATTATGTTTCATTGAAATTAAGTCAAGAAACATCAAGTCAGAATTCTTGCAAAATGGGCAGAATTGCTAGCAGTTTTATGTCTACAATTCTACATACATATTACTGTGTTAATCCCTTCCTGGGCTCCCCTATTGTTGTGTGTAGTGTATGGAAGTGAACACTCAGATAGAGTAGATGTGCGATGAGATAACGTCACGGTGTATAGTGTGTAACTGTGTACCATGCTATGATGAGTTGGATGGACCGGTCGGGCGCGCGCCGATGGACAGCAATGAAATGCTAAACTTTACCTATAGATAGCCCAAGTCCGACAGCCGACAGCCAATGACATAGGTCCTTTATGTTTGTGCACCTAAATAGGTGTTGTCATTCGTAGATAACCTTGAACCTTGATCATTCCCTTGGCCAAGCATTTGTGTTTAAAAAAGATAATACTAATGTGCCCCCAGGGTATGAATTTCAAAGATCTAATTAGTCCGACGGTTAGATAGTACCTAAAAAATAACAGATTTGCATTTTTATAGTATGTAGTAAGTAGGAAAACAATAGAGATTAAACTAATTTAAGCCTAGACATATGAGGTCGCTACGTCGACATTAACATTTCAAAACCCTATCTATATCATCTGAAATTATTGATTCCTTTGAAAAACACGACGTTTCTCATGTTAGAATTAAAATCTAAAGGACAGGCACTAAAATATGTAAACTTAGTCATTCTTATAAGTAGGAACCAACATAACTATAACCCGTCTCTTTTAAAAAGGTATTTAGGAGTCTCGTTTTGCTTATATTCACTTGTTTGTTTAAATTATTACCTGTGGAGAACGGGTCCACCCTTTATAGCAGAACTTTTTACGTCATAATTTTATTTTGCAGAAAATCGTTTGGCATACGCTCATTTACCATATACAGAAACCCATAATTTTGTAAGTCAGAATCCTCTTTAGGCATAAATTTCATATACATATTAATCAATAAGTTCACAACCCGAATCATCGTTTGGCATAAAGTCTATATCCATATTAATCAAAAGTAGAACCATCATAATGCAGAAAATTCACAGCCAGAATCATCTTTTGGCATGCATTTCATATCCATAATAAATTTAAAGAACACTATTTTTATTCGCCGCATTATGCAGCAAGTATGTAGCAACATGCAGCAAGCATGCAACATGCAGCAGGCATGCAGCAAGCAAGCATACAACATGCAGCAGGCATGAACCAAGCATGCAACATGCAGCAGGCATGACTTCTGTCACGGCTCCGGGGCTCCGGCGGTCCCATGCGAGCTAATCGTCGCAGATGGTTTTAACTACGCCCATCACCGCAGCTTCGGCTTGCTGGCCGCCTCGCCCCTCCGCGCCTTCGCGAGTTTAAATCACACAGATTACACTCTCGGGGTAGGGCAGAAAAGAGACCACGTCGGTTTCGCAGCGATTCATTTCTGTTACTAACTTTTGTAGCACATTAAAACAATTTCTTTTTTTTTTCAATATGACTAATAAAATTATTTCTATTGAAATTCTGTGACCTTCGTAGTATGCTAAATCAAATTATGCCAAATAATTGGCGCTCTAAATAAACGTTATGCTAAACGAAATTATGCAAAATTGTAACTCTGACAAAGGTAATTATGCCCAATGCAATTCTGCCATCTTAAAAGTATTCCATTTTAAATTCGGACATAAAAACATTAGGCCAAAAAACAATTATACATATAATTTTTTTTTTATGCCTTAACAATGTTCGTTTTAGAAAAGTTTATGCCAAGTGAGTTATGCCAAATAGGTTTCGGAGCTATAAGTTTCTGCCAGATAGAGGGCACCCGTGGAGAACATCCTGCTAATCACCAATCGAAAATAAATGTATTTTTAATATGAATGATGAACCTTTTTAATTAAAATTAAGATTAATCCAGGATTTTGCGAAATCTAACTATACCTATAAGTACACGTAGGTATTTAGAAACCATTTTTATGTATATCGGATCAGTGTTAGTGCCTAATCTGTTAACAAGAAAGATTCTTTTTTCAAACTAAGAACTTTTGTTTGAATAACATTAAATTTCATTTAATTTTAAAGAGATACCTAATGAGAACCATATTAATGTCCATAAATACACCACTGCAGAAGTTTTTTCACAAGTTGCTTCTGCTTGCGTTTTCTACGTACTCGTAATCTATTTTGGCACTTTTACTGTTGATGCTGATCAGCCCATGTATCGCTCTGAGGGGCGACTCTGAGCGATGCATGACCAATATAATCCCAAACAAAGTGTCGCTAATTTCCCCCATTGACCAGTTTACTGTTTTGCTACTTCAGACTTTGAAATAAATATGCCATATATATACACAGAAGAAAGTTGCCCTTAATTGCTATACAAATAGGTTTGGTGACTCCCAGACGAGTCTTTATTGTCAGCTTTAGAAATGAAGTCGCCTAGTATCATAGCCTACGATATCGGCTCCGGTTTTTTTTATTTAATATGTCGGCAAACGAGCAGACGGATTACCTGATGGTAAGCAATCAGCACCGCCCATGGACACCCGCAACGGATGCCTATCTTTTAGGGATTTGGAGATTGGAGACTGGGGAGGGATTGGGGAAGGGGAAGGATTGGGCCTGCGGTAACCTTACTTACACGGCGAAACCCAAGGCCGGGGTTGTTTCACGCCGGTTTTCTGTAAGGCCGTGGTATCGCTCCGGTCGAGCCGACCCATTCGTGCCGAAGCATGGCTCTACTACACTTAACGCGG